ACGTTATATTAAAAAATAAAAAATTATAATTTCTTAGTATATTATATTATATTAAAGTATTTTAAATCTTAATAATGTTTTTAAAATAAAAGATAAAGGATTTATTATTAAAGGTAGAGTTTTTATAATATAACTTAAGAAATTAAAGATTTATAAAAGTCATCTTTAAATAATATAATATTTTTTAATTAATTTTATTAGATTTAATTAAAAAAATTATTCTTTTAAAAATATTTTAAAAAATTATAATAATCATATTAATAGAAAAAAAAAAGAATTCTACAACCATAATAAATAAGGCTTATAATCTCTAGCTGCCCTGTAGAGATTGTTTATTTGGTGGGTGTGAAGAATGCAGTGGCCCGACATATTGTACTACTTAGTACTCCGTACGTGCGCAGGGCTTTGGCTGCCAAGATCAGGCTCCGATGGCCCGGGCCATGAAGCAGAGCTTCTTTGGACAAAGGTTGTTTTGTCTGTCCGAGTAATTTTCATCTAACTGTATTGATCAAATACGATACTGATTATCAGCTAGATTATGTATTTATATCATTCGTCGATCCCATCAGATTACTCAAAGTACCTTGAAAATTCGAAAGCAGGGTCCGGATCATCGGAAAAGACCTGATAAAATATTCTGTTTTCGCGCGGCACTTTGCAGTTCAATGAATTTGATGCAACTATAGACTGGAGTTAATACTCTATTTACTTATTTCTCAGTTCTAATTACAACGGCCACGCTCAAAGCTGACTCGGGTCGCATAGTAACGCTGTGTGCATCGTGTGTCAATATCTCGGCTTTACTATGGCTTCCGCGGCGCAGTTGCGGCAACCCTGATGGACTGCCACATTTCTTCGTGTGTGAACTTCATTCATTGCCCATGGAAGTTGCGATAATACGCTTCTTGTTGTCCTTGGGCTGAAGTCTGATCTTGACCGAATCATCAACTTGTGGAGAAATCTGTCTTCTACTTGGATGAGGCTCGTATGTCTCAAGAAAGAACTGCAGAACCTGCATCGTCAATCGCCTGCGCCGTGATTTGCCTCATTCAGGAATGAAACGCTCCCGCGCTAAGCCCACCGGGGCCGGTTACAGGCGGAGAGGCCGGAGAAACATTGCTTGCAGCCCAAGGATAAATGATCGTCATATATACCGCGCGTTTCACCAGGATAAGACAAAAGCAGTCAAAACAGGGCGATCGTAGGCAGTCTTAAAGCTTTTAATGCTGAAGGGCGCTAGGCGCTAGTGGGGGCTTTATGCATGTATTCCACTAACTATTTGTCGTCTATGGACAAATCAGTCATGTGAGAGTTTCAGCCACCATCGATACAACCCCCTTAGTCCCAGCAGCAGGCGATCGAATCATGCAAATCAGGTAAGGCTGACGACGGAAAATTTACTGGTGGTTATCTGACTCGACTCACTCGACTCATTCATAAACTCCCTATATGTCATTGCATATAGGATTGTCCTCTTGATGTAAGCGGTGTTTCCTTCACACCAATAACGTATGGAGTTCTGCATTACCTTTATAGCTTGAGCAAGATGTTTGACAATGACAACAGTAATATACTATATGGATACAACGTGGGATTCTTCGACGTTTTTCATAGAGCGGTAGACAGATGTGGTCGAATATCTAACCAGGGGCTGTCCTCGTGGCGCTATCCCACTTCTCATGTCCGAATCAAGCGGACCATAAGGCTACATACAAGCATCGTGCTATGGGGTCTGAAGTCGGTACTGCATTGATTTGCGCCCAAGTCGCCCTGAAGCCTTTATGCGAGATGCATAAACAAGCTCAAGTCGAAGCACGGCAGTTCAAATTATCTATCAGAATGTGGCTTTACTGACGCGTATAGAGACATGGCATAAAGATGAAAGGGGCATGCCTTGGGATCGCATAATAATAGTACTAACAATCAATATCAGTCTATAAGCGCTGACAACAAGGTGAGGCTTAAGTCTGTATTCTCGGCCTGTCTTTGCGCGCGGAACAGGGCAGAGCATGGGATGAGCTGCTAAGCAATGATGTAGTTGCAGTCATGATCCATGCTCTAGTAGTCCACACACTGCCAGGAACGATCGTGATCCTATGCAGCCTTCAGGTACGTATGTGTACGGTGATGGTACTTGACGGGCTAGAAGCTTTGCTTGGCAATACATATATAAGGCAGCACATCGTTGCCTCTGGTCGTTCGATTTAAAACCACACTCATTACTTATAAGATTATCAGTTCTTCTGAGTCTCTTACTAAAAACAAGAGACATCAGACGCACAAAGATATTCTACATTACGCTCTTTTACATTTCATCATCATCCACAAAATGAGAGTCTTTACCGCTCGACAGTCCAGACTTTCCTGGCTGTCTTTGACTGTATTGGCAGCATTCTTTATGTGTATCGGACTCATCCATGGTCACCCATCCTCCGGAAGCAACCTGCATCAACTGAGTTATCGAGGCGCTGGTGACTCGAAGCCGAAGCCACCAAAAGGCCCCAAGCCTCCTAAGGGGGGTGATGGGCCGTCCGTACCCCCTCCCACGAGTGGACCTTCGAAAGGAAAGAAAGTCGGTTTCAAGAAGAACGTGGACAGACTTCCTAAGTTTGAGTTGCCAAAGGAGCCATTGGTCGCCTACCGTGGCGAGACGCGAGATCCTACTGTCATTGAAGCAGCGAAAGGTTTCTTTCCACGAGACCCTGAGCGAGCTCTCACTGCAGAGGAGGCAGAGGCAGGCAGCGGCATATACTCTCATGTCGCTGAAAAGATCGTCAAGGACTACACCAAGTATGTGTCGACGTCCATGGACCCGGGCGCCGCCAGCGACTTTGGCAAATCCACGGGATACGTGTATGTGGTAGCTCCAGACCCGAAGATGATCAATGTTCCAGAGACCCTTGGAGAGTTCATGCCTGCTCAGTTCGCCAAAGAGAATGAGCTCATAGCGGTAGGACAGATTCCATTTGAACAAGTTAGGGGCTGGATTAAGAAGAGCACCACGATTCGAGCTGGCGATTGGCTAGCGCTTCGAGAGCATGGCCATAAGCTAAGCGGAGGGCCGCTCTCGGACGACCTGAAGAAGAAGATTGGCAACATTGCCAACGCGTACACGCCGAACAAGAAATACGATGCCGCGAAATATGACAAGACTCGAGCGAGCGGTGGACGTCCGGAATTGGCCGGGTTTCCCAAGGATAGCCCGGCGTGGAAGAAGGAGCCTTGGAAGCAGTACCAAAACAAGAAGGTTTCTGAGAGCCTCACAGAGTTCCTGAATGAAGTTGTCTGCGACAAGGTGGAGGCTTGCGTCGAGGCGCAGTTGGCTTCCAAGCCCGGTGAGGCTGGTGTGCCGAATCCATACTTGGACGTGGACCCTCCCTGCAAAGAAACTGATCTCAAGAAGAGACAAGAAGGAGAAGCATGCCGCCAGTTGACTGAAGAGGATGAGACTGAGACAGACGATCAAGTACCAGAAGAGGATGAGACTGAAACGGACGGACAAGTACCAGAAGAGGGGACAGAACCCTCTGAGGGCACTGAACCTGAAGCGCCCGGGAATGCAGAGGAAGGTCTCGGCGCCGAGGAGAAGTTGGACCTGGCCCGAAAGACTTCAGAGGAAGTGTTTGAGGACCTCTTCACCTCTCGCAAGCTGAGTGAAAAAGCCGCCGAGTGGGGTTTGAAGGTCCAAGATGCCCGTACCCGTGTATTAGGCTACAAGCCACTCACAGAGGCGTCTCCGCACTTTTCGCTCTCCAAGGCCGGACTGGCTCTTGAGGGTGCTGGTCTCGTTGCCTGGGGTGCCGGAATGGTTCAAGCCTTTACTTCCAACTCGACGGGCTGGGAGCGGGCCGCAGCCGTGACTGCCCTTGTCCCCTTTGTTGGGTGCGGATTCAACGCCATTGCCGAGTCCCAGACCAAGGAAGGCATCGACGTCATTGACCAGATGATGTGCATCACGGCCGATATCTTATTGTTCACCCCGCTCGCACCCTTTGCCTTTGTGGTCCAAGTCTTTAGGGTGATTAATGGCCTGTTCAAGACAACGTCGGTTCCCAAGGCCGAGGAGGTGCAGGCGACTCGCGACAAGGCATGGAGCAAGATTCTTGATGACAAAGTCTATACATACTACTACTCGGACGACTCACTGTCTCGCAACAGAAAGTTCCGCGACAAGTTGAACGGCACTCTGTGGGCAGACAGCATGGCTATTGTGTCTGACGCCGCCGATCTTATTGCGGCCGCAAACGCGACTATGCAGGCTTCTGCAAAGTCTCCCAATGTGGACAAGGACCAGATCAACGCCGTGGTTCTGAATGTCACCGATCAGATCAAGGCACAGATTCCGTCCAAGGTTGCCGTCAGGCAGCGAGAGTTTCTGCTGCAGCTGCCGCAGCTCATCAAGCAGGGGACAGATCTGTCGGTCCATAAGATGGCGGATCAGTTCAACAATGAAACCATCACTCACCTCACATCAGACGCCATGGTTAAGCAGTATACACCAACGGTCTTTGTGCCACCTGGTGACCCTGCAGGTCCCGATCTGAAGGAAGGTGTCCGCGGCGAACTCGGTGCCGTCGCCGCGCATCTGGAGAAGACGCCACTACCCTTACCGAAGCTGTTTGATGTTGCCTACGTTCTCGGACAGTCCAAGGGCATGCAGGATATTGATTCTCTGACGCTGAACCCGGGCGAATTCATCAAGTCGCGCGCCCCCGAGATGTCCCCGGACGACGTCGACTCATACGCGCTGTTCCACGCGCTGCAGATTTCCATGCTGCTGCGCGGCAGCGTCTCTGAAGACAAGCTGTCCAAGCTCTGGCCGACCGACGACAAGAAGACGGTGCAGGAGCTGCAGCTCCTCCTCGCGCTCAAGTTTGGCCGGGTTTTTGACTCGCAAAAGATGGCAGCAGCCGCTCAGCTTGCAGGCCAACACCCGACCCCGCAGGAGGAGAAGTTCATGACGCACCCGAGTATCCCGCCGCTCAAGATTGCGCCAGAGTCGATGGCGTACATTGGTCTGATTCTGGAACTCAGCGAGGAGCGCATCAAGACTGTGCCCCATCTCAAGGAGGAGGTTGGCTTCAAGGAGCTAGGCACCGACGAGAAGCTGATCATGGCCATGCTGGAAAAGGCAAAGGAGCTCTACGTCGAAAGGGACAAGGAGATGACCCTTCCCGAGGAAGGTCAGGCTGCTCCGGAAGGTCAGGCTGCTCCGGAAGGTCAGGCTGCTCCGGCTGCTTAAGTAAGATGTGCAGAGGATGGCTGGCTTTTGTAGATTGATAGAGGGAATCTCTGAAGGCGGAGGAGGTTGAGGATTTCTAACTGTACTGCATTTGTGTGCCTGAAAGAACGAAAGATAGGATTAGAACAGACAATCTACTGGCTGTTGGATAACATTGTAAGGTACCTTTCATTCTGTGATGGGCGGGTTTTGTGAGTACCACCCATCGCACCAATACGCTCTATAAGGTAATGTATATTGCCACCAAGGATGGGTTCTTGGTCGATGAAGTAGCTTTCTGGGACAGCGACAAAGGCTTCGTGGAGAATCAACAGGGCCTTGCGACCCTCGTCGAGGATGTGTCCTATCTCAGACTGCGACAGCCGTTGCGTATGACGAAAAGCCAGCCAATTAAGCAGGATCATAATTGTCCTTCTTTACAGAAGAAGGAACTTGTGTAGTAGAAGTTTTGCAATTTGACGGGCGCGCTATTCGAAGATAGTTCCATGTGGTAGAGCACCCCACGTAACCTGGCGGGAAAACTTACCAGGACAGTAGCGCGCTAAAACTACGCACAACACCGTGGCTAAATGAAGCTTGATTGATCCCTTTTTTTGGTTGTGATGATGCTCAAGCCAAGTTGTGTGCGCTACGCAGAAAATGATCACTCAGGATATCCACACCAAAATTGAACCCTTACAGCACCACAGCGCCTATGAATTCGGTAGTAAATAGTTTTAGGTTATTTCTCGATACGACAGTCAAAGAGCTACTAAATTAGGCAATTATTAAGTGTGAAAGCAATAGAGTGTGGCGTGGTGTCCACTACCTTAAATAATGGTCTTGGGTGACGTTACGGAAAGTGGCGTGGCACGTGTGCTGGAAGGCTTTTTTTCTTTGCCTTTTTACTCGGGCATAAGACTTGAGAAGTGCACACGAATGAATGAGCTCGGAAACGAGTTGCGGTACAGAGGATAAAATGCACCATATCTACTAGAGAAAATTGCATTCAACTATCGTGGGGCAACTGCTACCAACAGTCAAGCTTGTAGGCAAGTTCCATCTTGTCAAAAAAAAAAAAAAGAAAAAAGAAAAAAAAAAGAAAAAACAATGTCGACTCTGTCAAGAGACCTTGAGAATTCGTCCGGTGCGGCGGTATACTAATTGCAAGGCGTATCGAATTCGCTACTACATTTCACTATTTATAGCGTGCGCGTCTTGATCAACAGGAGCTGGCTCGTGTTACAAATAAAGATGCGCTGCCCCCCCTCCCCACCATATAAGTCGAGAAGACAGGGCACTGGCTATTGGCAAAGTGGCTTGGGAAATTATTCTTGCGCACTAACGATGACGACTAATGGTTAGCAGTCTCTTGAAGAATACCTTTAAAGTTTTGCCGCGCAATTGGACAACAAGGTGCGGCTTGTGATGACTGCCTTCAAAACCCCGAGATCGGCGCGCTCTCCCGCGTCATGCGCAGCGATGCGGAGAATCTATGCAGTAGAGTAGCTAGCAATGAGTAAAACAAGAAGGAATTCAGGACCTTGGACGTGACTGCCCGCGATTACCATGAAGCGGTGGGCAGAAATATACAAATTGCCTGATGCTGGGGATATATCATTAGGATGGGAAGATGGAGTGGCGTGATGTAATGACTTACACGCCAGGTACAGTTACTTTCCTAATAAGTGACGACTATATAAGCGCAATACACTTGTTGTATCCAGCAGTGTGGTTTTCAGACGCCCAGGCTCACAAGTGGCGCTTTTTGACTCGAAGCCTCGATTTGAAAAGCCGGTTAAAGGCTAGATAGCCGCTTATTAAAATAAATGAACTGGCCATGATACAAATCATCCCTTTGCCAAGAATGGCTTATTTAAACTTATTCATGCCCCCAACCTACATCTCACTGATTCAATTGCCGATTGCGGGGCACCCGGGGTACTTACTATATATTACTGGGCGAGGCCATAGTCTTATGTCCAATCCGCTTTACATCGTTTACAATTACTTTTCGAGCAAAAACCCTGCAAAGGATGCCTTGTTTGCAGCTCCCAAATATGACTTTTCTGCCCTTTGTGTCGCTGGCTGCCGTCTTCTCGGCTGCGACGGCCACGGCCTCCATTGCTGGCGCCAACAGCGACAGCGCAACTCGGTATTTGAACTCGACTAGCTTGCCTCGGCAAGCTCAAATTATTGACAGTGCCGATTTTGCGTCGATTGAATCGGTTGCGCCGTCAAGTGAATACAATGGCATAACTGTAAGATATTTTGGACGTTTTCATCTAGATGATTTCCGTGGCTGATTGGTGCTATGTTAGGAATGGGTGCCGCCTGGCACCACACGACAGGGGCTAAAGGACCGCCCATTCCTCGTATTCGACCCTGAATTTCTGGAAATTATTGGTAGTGACCCGAAACTTGCAATCATTGCCGAGACTGAAAAGGATCCCTTATTTCACGAAGCTGTCGTCTGGTAAGAGGCTCTATCTCAACACCACCCTAACAGACCTCTAGCTAACTTGTCCGCGTTAGGATTCCTGCGACAGATGAAGTCTTTTTTGCGCAAAACGCTGGAGCTCCGGATGCCGGAACCGGGCTCAACAAGTCGTCCATTGTCCAAAAGGTGTCCGTGTCGGAGGCGCTGCAGGTTGCTTCTGGCAACAAGACTGGCCATGTCAAAGTCGAGACTGTCTCCTCTAACCCGCCAGTGATTAATCCTAATGGTAAGCTTCAAGTTTTGTAAGAAAAAAAAAATTGGAAGTTGGGCGATGCTAAACGACAATGGCAGGCGGAACCAACTATAAAGGAAATATTCTCTTTGCAGGTGAGGGTATGGGCAACAAGACGGCCTCTGCTCTTTATTCTGTCAACCCCCTGCCGCCCTACAATGCGACAATTCTCGTAAACAACTATTACGGTCGGCAGTTTAACTCGCTAAACGATATTGGAGTCAACCCCCGCAATTCGCACATTTACTTTACAGATCCTCTTTACGCTTACTTTCAGGACTTTCGGCCGCCACCGGCTTTGCCTGTTCAGGTGTACAAGTTCAACCCAGAGACAAAGGCCATTCAGGTCGTCGCCAGTGAATTTGACCAAGCCAACGGCAAGTTATATATCCCCATCTACCATGCATTCACCATTCAATATGCGCAATCTGCTAAATTCAGGAGACAGGCATTACCTTTTCTCCCGACGGCGAATTCGTCTACGTCACTGACTCGGGAGCACACCACGGCTTCCGTGGCTTTGATCCATCCCGTCCCTCAACCATGTACGTCTCCTAGCTTCGGCACGTACTATATCGTATCTTATAGCCATACTAATGTTCTATTCTCACGCTGTTGAATAGCTACCGATTTAATGTTGCCGAAGATGGCACCTTTGAAAACCGAAAGACCTTTGCCTTTGTCGACAATGGAGTCCCGGATGGTAAGTCTATTGCACCACAGCCGCACATGAGCCTCGAGCGCCGCCAAGGAAGACTATGGATGAGCTGACTCATTGCCCAGGTATTCACTGTGATAGCAAGGGCAACGTCTATGTTGGATGCGGAGACGGAATCCATGTTTTTAACCCATCGGGCAAGCTTCTAGGCAAGATCTTTACCGATGGCGGAGCAGCCAACTTTCAGTTTGTCGGGAATGGAAAGATGATCATTTGCGCCGAGACACGACTCTACCTGGCGCTGATTGCAGCCAAGGCGGCCCCCATTCATTGAGCGCGCACGTTTTTCTTTTTCTGTTCGAATTTACTTGGGCTGAAATCTATGCTGACTATTTCTTATACCCTTTTGCTCAGGAAGTGGATTATGCAACAATTGTATTGGTGCGTGAAGTAAGCCTAGAGATTGTACTGCTACCGATTGCGGCAGAGTAGCCTGTTGGACTAGAACAGAAACTGACTCTCAAGCCGAAAGCCGAAAAGCGCATAATGATCAAACAATGTATAGGATATTCTATATAAAGTACGTGGTACTCTTAGTAACTGGTCTCCGTAAAAGACGGCAATGTTGCAGCACGCAGTAAACAAAGCAATGTATATAGCTATCGCCGTTGCAGTGTATTTTTGGCAGCCAGATGACGTCATTACTGCGATTCAAGGCTCGCTGCTGGAAAGAACAGTAAAAGGTGAATTGAACTGGAAACACCTCACTAATTTTTTTTTTTTTTTTTCATTCGACCTTTAAAAGCAGGCAGCTACTCCATCCGATAGCCTCGGATATGAATTGATGAGACCAAACAAGCTGAAAAGTCGCTTTATATACACGGCGTTTTGCGCTAAATCACCCGCTCAAACTTCCCTCTGATCGCGCAACAAACGACATCTACTCATCAGCGCAGCCCGTCTTGGCCGCAGTGGTTATACTCCAAAAAATGCCCGGGAATGCGCGCTACATAGTACCGGGCATATCCAATCTTTCAAGATATATCCGTCAAGCCGGCACGCGCACGCACCGAACATGGCGCAATGCCCCCCGCACGAAAGAGCCTGGTCCGGGCAGATGCGGCGGCCAGTTTACGCTCCATCGCTGCTACAACACCAGCATACCTACATCCGACGTATCCAGCCCGGCAGGCAACGGCATCGTCGAGCGCGCCGTGCGTCTATCCATGGCGCCGCTCAACGGCAACGTCAAGCTGCAGTGCACCCGCTGCGACTCGGACGGCGCCGCAACCACCACGACTGTGAGCAAGGCCGCCGTCGCGAGCGAGTACGGCCTGAGCCCGCGCGACTTGCAAATCATTGACCTGCCGTCCCAAGGCTTCCCCCACATTCTCGTCCGCGCGTCGACTATCCTGTTCCACATGTTTGACCTGCGTCTCCTGATCCAGGCCGACAAGCTGCTGCTGTTCCACGTCGACGGGCTGGCCGACACGACCATTTCGCAAGTCTTTACGTACAACCTGCAAGACAAGCTGCAGGGCCACCACGTGCTGCACCGAAAGATGAACGAGGCGTTTGAGCTGCGCGCGCTCGAGGCGGCGCTCGCGGCCGTCGCGGCAGGGCTCGAGGCCGGGTACCTGCTGGTGCGGCGCGACGTGGGCGCGGCGCTGCGGGAGCTCGATGCGCAGATGGCGGACAAGGAGGAGGCGTCGGTGCACACGGGCTTGCGGGAGCTGCTCGACATGGCACGGCGGCTCGCCGACATTGAGCAGCAAGCGAGGCTGGTGCGCGGGGCGCTCGGGGATCTGCTGCGCGAGGACCGCGACATGGCGGACCTGTACCTGACGGACAGACGCAGCGGCCGTCGCCACGAGGCCGATGATCATGAAGAGGTCGAGTACTTGTTTGAGGCCTACTTTCGGGCGCACGACGCCGTGGTGCAGGAGGCGTCGGCGCTCATGGCCAACGTCCACCGTACTGCTGATACGGTGCGGTCCATCCTGGCCAACCGCCGCAACCAAATCATGATATTGGAGACAAAGGTGGAAATCGCCATGCTCGGCATGGCGTCGGCCACGCTGGTCGCTGGGTGGTACGGCATGAACACTGTCAACTTCCTCGAGGAAAGCCTGTCTGCGTTTGCCGTGATTGTGTCTGGTTCTGTGCTGGGTGGTGGTGCCATCTGGTGGTTCCTACTGCGAAAGTTGAGAAGCATTAGGCGGAAGAAGATGTAGACATCATCTCTGCGGAGCCCCAGAGCACGGTGATTCAAGAGCCTTTTAGCCATTGGCAATCGTTACATTAAGGCTACAAGTATTAGCATCCTGCTTTGTACAATTAAAAATCTAGGCCATGTTCTTGTACACCATCTTTCTATTTCTCTTCGACCTCGTCATGTCTGCAGCTCAGATATTGGTCTGGAAGTTGGATCGCGCGATCCAACGCCATGGGTAGTACCCTATGTCTGCCGCGAAGCATGACAAGACAAAGGACCAGTTTGCTTCCCGCGTACCACGTTCCAGCAAAGCTATAAGCGCCCGATGGCGTTCCAACCGAAATGCCGACCGTACCGTATGCAGAGACAACTTCGAATATGACATTGAAAACCGAAAAGTTGATCGGGTCAGCATCGAAATGACCGCTTTCAATAATCACAATGATCAGGACAGCTAGCACCAGCCAACGAATATCCTGACCTAATTGCCCATGTATCTGCTGGTGAATGAAGCTCATACGACCATCACGTGTACCATGAGGAGACATGCTACGAAACGAAAAGGGTCGTGGAGGGAGGCTTGGCCGCTTCTCTCGGTGCCTGCTTTCACTGTGGGATGTAGAACGCGTTGATATAGGTCGTCCGTCTATCGCTGTTGTCGGTGTTGCCGCTGACTGGTTCACGGGTCCGTGACAGAATGATTGGGCTGGTGGTACACCCGATACCGAACGGGTTTCCTGCGCAGTGGCAAGATTGCGTTTCTCGGCAGGGTATGAGGCAGCACTGATGATCCCACCTCGGGGAGAATGTGACGCATCATGAGTTTCATCATCCATATCGTGGTGAGAATCACCTGTGTATGTATTGGACTGATGGATAGTGATGACGACTGGGTATACTGAAATGTACATCATAATAACGTACAGAAATTGGACGGCAATGGATATTTGTGCAATTGGAACGACGTAGAATCCGCCGGACCGCACAGCCAGAGCTTGAAAAAGCCCTACCAGTACTCGAGGCCCGACTGGTATGCTTTGAACCGCCGGGTTATGCAGATTGAGTACCTCAAACAGCACCCAGTCAATTCCGTTGAGGCAGACGAGCATAAAAACGAGCCACCAAGTGAGGCGTGACGGAAATAGATTTGTGTAAATGCGCCGAGGATCCTTGAGCAAAAGCTTCATGGCCAGTCTGGTGCTCCGGAAAGAGGTAGCCTCGGTAGTCAGGTCAAGTAGCTTCATGCCGGACCAAAAGATGAAGCGCAGGAAGATGGGGTATGCCGTGTTTCCAGCTAGAATCATCAATCCCATCGTGACGAGGACAAAGTAGGACTCCTGAAACGGCATCATGTTGGCATCGAGTAGGGACATGCCAGAATTATTAAATGCAGAAACTCCGTTGAAGAGTCCTAGCCACCACGGATTGATGCCATTGGTAAGCGCAGTGTCGGGCATGTGATGATGGATCCATGCGCCCAGGCTGATGCATCCCAGCAGCTGCCAGAGAACGAAATACAGAGGCACGATAATGGAAAGCAGCTCAAGTGCACGATACTCGCAGCCGCACATTTGCTTGCTCTTGGCACTGGAGAGACCCTGTTCATCGCAATCAAGTCTGTCCGGTCCTTGTTCTAGAGCGCAGACACTATCGCACGGGCTAGAGCTTTCTTGCACAGCGACGACCGCGGCAGAGTCCGAGGTATCTGGGGCAGGTGCTTGACGTGAGCCCGGGAGTTCAGAACCAGCACATCGAGGCGATTCCTGGGCAGTTGCTTTGCCGTGCTGCCGGGGCAAACCCTCGAGGCGCATAAATCTTCGGTAAAAGACGTGTTTGCGTGTAAGAACAGTACATATAGACACCCAGATGGTGCTGCCAAACACGATGAGCAGGAACAGCATGGTCTGCTGCCAAGTGGTCATGGTGCTGAGGTTGACCGTGTTGAGGCCGGCTTCAGTCATGGCCGACACGACCACGAAGAGGCTGTCGACATAGCTGATGCGGCCGTGGGGCTTCGATGTCGCCCAGAAGACGGCGGAGCTGAGCAAGCAGACGACGACAAAGTAACAGTAATGAATCGTAATGAAATTTGGCATCCACCGCCGCCTTCTCGTCGAGCTCGACGATGCTAGCGTCTCCATGGGTCCGACCCGCTAAGCCTTATTTGAGGAGAAAGATTGGGAAGCAAAGAATCGCGGGTGAAAGGGAACAAGCCGGGATATCCTGCTTTGGCGTCAACGGCAACGTTGCGGGTTTAAGGGGCAGATTGTGGCTGGCTGGACCCTGGGTACCTCGTTACCCAGTGTCTCTGATTGTTGTCTCCGCCCCCTCAAGACGAACTGTTAATATAAGCAGCTGGTGGTTTATGAACCAAAAGTGCCTATTATTGATGCATCTCGCGCCCGAAGTCCGTCTGTATAAGACGGCAGTGTGATGCAAGATGTCGTTGGTGGCTCCTTCTGCATTTGGGCGGACCCCGCGGACCCTTTTTGCTTGTGATTCTTTAAGGTGATGTAAAGCGATATTCATCTGGGGTGGGCCACTGGGCCAATACTTTAAATACAAAATGAACATCTCTAGGGAGAGTATCATGTGCCCAGACTCTTCTGGTTTAGTCATTCATGCAGATAGTAAGCGACCAAGACTCTGTCGCAGACAATACCCATCATACCATGATACAAAAGAGATGAAGAGAAAAAGCAAGGCCAGCAGGTAACACCAAGGTGCTCATGCTTGCAGGGCAGCGTCATCGCGCGTCGCGCCACTGCCCTTCTTCCATGAATCCGTGTGGTCGCCCCTTGTCTTGGCTTTGCTTTCCTCACCTGCTGCACCCCAACCGCCACCACCAGGCGTGTTGATGATGATGCGATCGCCCGCCGCCATGGACGCTGAATTCTTGGCGCCAATATTGATATACCGCTCCTCGTACTCGACACCCTGGGCCTCCTTCTCCTGCTGCTCCTGCTGCGTCGCACCCTGCACCGACTGCATCGAGCGCTGCCAGTCGGCCTTTTCCACGCGGCGCACCCACAGGTTCAGGCCGCACTGGCCATCCTCGCCCCCCTTGAGTCCGTACGGCCGATACACGCGCCTCTCGCTGAGAATAGACACCTGCAGCGGGATGCGGAATTCAATGTCGCGGATCACGCCGTCACCACCCTTGTGCTGCCCCTTGCCGCCAGAGTCTTTGCGGATGGAAAATTCGCGCAGTAGCACCGGATAACGGCGCTCGAAGATTTCTGAATCTGTAATGCGCGTGTTCGTCATGTGGACATGCACGCCACTGGTGCCGACCCAGTCAGGACCAGCGCCGCTGCCGCCTGCAATGGTTTCGTAGTAGCCGAAGCCACGCACCGCGCTTTGGCCTGTGACGTTGCCACCGAAGCCGAATGTGAGGTTGTTGCAGCAGCCTTGCGAGGCGGCACAAGCCTCAAAGGCTTTGAGAACGACGTCAGTGATGCGCTGACTGGTAAGCACGTTTCCGCCGACGACGGCAGCACCAGGGGAGGGTGACAGTAAAGACTTGGGCGGGATCTTGACGTTGATGGGGCGCAGACAGCCTTGGTTTAGAGGAATCTCTTGAGATACCAGGCATCGCAGGCAGTAAATAATGGCACTGTAAGTAATGGCTTCCGGTGCGTTGACGTTTCCGTAGACCTCGGGACCGGTGCCTGCAAAGTCAAACTCGGCTTCGCCCTGTTCAGGATCAATCTTGACTCTCAGCTGGATCGGGGAGCCGTCATCCATAAAGTCGAGTGCGGAGAGATCACGACCCTCGAATCGCTTGTGGACCTCCTTGAGAAGATTGCGGACACACATTTCGGCATTTTTCTGAATGTTGACCATGTAAAACTGGACGGTTTCCTCGCCATACTCCTCAATCAGAGTCTCAATCAGAGAAATGCCCTTTTTGTTCGCCGAGACCTGGGCGCGCATGTCACTGATATTGTCGGCGAGGCAGCGAGTACCACTACATCCAGGGTACTGCGCGGGACCCTCATAGAGAATCTCGGTGATGCGCTTCTCGTCAAACTTGCCCTTGCTGACAATTTTCTCACTCTTAAAGACAGCGCCTTCCTGAAAAAGTTCGCGAGAGTTGGGTGGCATACTTCCAGCAGTGATGCCTCCAATATCAGCATGATGTGCACGCGATGCAGCATAGAAAAGGATACGGCTTCCGCTCTGATCAAACGCTGGCATAATCAGGGTAATATCGGGCAGGTGTGTACCTCCATATGACGGATCATTCGAGGCAATAACGTCACCCTTCTCCAGTCGCCCTTTCCAGATCTCAGCCTGTCGACGGACACAGGTCGACATGGATCCCAGATGAACAGGCAGGTGAGGAGCATTGGCTACCAGACCACCTTGGGCGTCAAATATTGCGCAAGAAAAGTCTAGTCTCTCCTTGACATTCGTGCTGACACTTGTCTTTTGCAGAGCGCGTCCCATTTGCTCGGCAATAGCCATGAAGCGATGTCCGAAAATACTGAGCATGATAGGATCAACCTCGCGCTCGCGCTCGGCTGAGTTTTCGGTTTCATCCTTTGTGCCCTCCTTTTCCAGATCGAGAATGACATGTGTGGCAGTGATGAGGGCTTTCGCTCTTGGAGTAACCACAATAGTTTGAGTTCCATCAGCAAGCATGGCGGGACCAGGGACAACGTCGCCAATGGACAAACTCTCGAGCTTGTAAATCGGTGCGCGAGCACGTCCCCCTTCAAAGTACACCTGCTGTATGCTATGGCGTTTCGACTCTGTGACATGTTGGCGCTTGATAGTCTTGAGTTGCTCGTCAACAGTCTTCTCATTGTTGCGGAAGCTTTTGCCGATGCCGCGAACGCGGACATCATCGACAATGATGTCTCGTTCGTCAAGTGTGAAGCCAAACTCGTAGCGATGTTGCTTGACAAAGGCTTGGCCAAACTGCCAGTCTTTGCCGGCAAAGGACTCTTTGGCCTCTGCCTCGGTGGGCTTCACAATCATGAGAGCAGACTCGGTGCCACGGTAGCGCATGTTTAGATACTCCTCGAACGCGATTTCGCTATCCTCAAAGCCCTGTTCCTTCAGAAAAGCCCGGGATTTTTCCTTGAGCTTCTCCATCTTCGACCGCATGTCTGCGACGACATCTCCACTGTCAACCCAAACCGAGGATTCTGGCTCTTGTCTTTCATCAACGACGTCCGCAAGAGCCATGCCGTATGCAGACAGAACGGAGGAGTATCTGTGAACGAGAATCTGGCTGATTCCAAGGGATTCCGCAATAGCGACCGCATGCTGGCCGCCAGCACCGCCAAAGGTGGCAAGTCTGTGCTTAGACGAATCGTGACCCTTGGCTTCGGTAATAGATCTGATTGGGCGAGTCATGGCTTCGTTGGCAACGGTTAAGAATCCATAAGCAACTTCGTCTGCACTCATGTTCTTTCCAGTCTCACGATTGACCTGATCAGCCAGCTCCTGCAGGACCTTGCGACTCGCTTCAACATTTAAACCTTGATCTTCATTCTTGCCAAAAATTTTGGGGAAAAACTCAGGAAGTAGACGACCAAGATAAAGGTTCGCATCGGTGACAGTTGCAGGGCCGCCTTTGCGATAGCAAGCAGGCCCAGGATGCGCACCTGCTGATTCGGGGCCGACAACGAATAAGCCATTGCGAAAAAAGAGGCGCGAGCCACCGCCAGCGGCAACGGTGTTGATATCTAATTGAGGTGATTGGATAGTGACGCCTGCCGTTGTGGTCTCAAAGACGTGCTCATATCTACCCTCTCCGTAGCGAGACACATCGGTACTTGTACCGCCCATGTCAAAACCAATGACTGGAATCTTGGTCTTTGCATCATACGAGGTTATCGCGTAGCCAACGACACCCCCGGCAGGGCCGGACAAGATGGCCTTGAGGCCTGTAAACTTTTCCACATCGACAAGACCACCGTCGCTTTGCATAAACTCGCACCGAGCACCTCTTGGGCCCTCCGTCTCCTGGACGCTTCGGGTGCCGAGACCGCCAGCAAAGCCAGACTGGAAGCCATCAATGTACTTTTTGATGGTTGGGGTGAGATAGGCATCCGCGCAGACGGATGTAGCGCGGGGCACGAGCTTGATCATGGGCATCAGCTCATGGCTAAGCGAAATGTGAGTGAAGCCAACTTCCTTGGCAAGCTTGCCGATGGCAGCTTCGTGGTCAGGGAATGTGTAGCCGTGCATTAGACAGACGGCAATGCTTCGAATTCCTTGATTGTAGATTTCTTTCAATTGTGTCGTGATTCTTTCATGATCAGGCCGTGTCATTATCCGAACAGTCTCGCCTGATAGTCCACGAACGAGCTCGTTATTCTCAGCGGCCTCGGTGCCTGCCACGGCGTCGGCTTGGGTGACGGTTCTCTCCGGATCCTCGGCATAATCTTCCAGTGTGACACGCTCGTCCACTTCGACAACCTGTTCGTACAAGACATCTGGTTTGCGAATGGCCAGGTCAAAGATTCTCGGTCTGGACTGGTTCCCGATGGTGAGGCAGTCCTTGAAGCCCTTGGTGACAATCAAAGCGATGCGTTCGCCCTTGCGCTCCAGCAGGGCATTGGTGGCGACGGTTGTGCCCATGCGAATGGAGTCAATCTGGGAAGTATCCAACGGCTCTCCGCGAGGAATATCACGTCCAGTGAAGTGGCTCATGATGCGGCGGATGCCTTCCAGAGGAGCATCCTTGTAGTTTGCGGGGTCCTCGGAGAGGAGCTTGATGATGATTTCTTGGCCATTCTGCTCGCCGACGCAGTCGGTAAAAGTTCCACCACGGTCGATGGCAATGCGAATTCCGCGAGACCTGGGGCCTTGGGCCATTTTTGAATGAGTTGGAGAGCTTTCGGGTGCGGGTAATGGCAAAAGGCAAACGAAGATGAAGGAGGGGCAAAGATGAAATGTGAGCTTAAATGCAGCCCCGCCAAAGACGTGATTCTTCGGGTTCGGAGATAGCAGCACCAGCCCGGCCAGGTAAACTAGATGGTCAGAGAGGAAGTGAAAGAAGAAGCTCGATTGATATATAGTATATACAACTTTTTTTTATTTATTCTCTGAGAATGAAGCGTCGGCGGGGTTCCACCTCCGTGAGTCCACCATCTGCGGCTCCGCATCCGCTACCAGGGCCTCGAGCTCACCAGTACATGTTGTCTCTTTGGTGCACGGAATAGCGCCATGGGCAAGCGTAGCGAAGGATTGGTATTTGTGTCCTTTTCTTTTGTCGTAGTTATTCTCGATGAAGCGTACGTCCGAGATGTTACTTGTAAATAGAGTTGATAGCTTCTACATTTTGAACTCGTTAAAGAATATTTTCTCTCTCTTTAGCGTAACCGTAGTGATGGTACAACTACCTACGCGGGAGGGGGGTGTTTTCTGACATGCCCTGACAGATTTTCGTAGATGAAATATTATTTAGGCATATTGCCATGGATTCGGGCTTCTCGGATAGGATGTCAGCAATTTTTTCAATATGTTGAAAACTTGCAACATGCCTAAAAAATATGCCAGATAGGAAAATATGTCAGAGGGCATGTCAGAAAACACCCCCCTCCAGCGTAGGTATCTAACTTATAAAATGCAGACCCAGTTTTAAACAGAGGTCCTAATAAGCCATCAGTCTTTCAGACAGTCATGACTGAATTACCACAGACAGTTTAAACATCCTTTTCTTATCATTGATTATTAATATAAATATATAATAACCCCGAATTCTAATAATTCTTTTTTTTTTCTAAAACCTTGTGTGTATCAGCCCAGTACCGTCGTCTAAAAACATGGCGTGGAAAAAACATGTGCAAAGCCAATTGTAAAAGCATCTCTCACCCCCCCCCCCCTAGGTACATGTCTAAAATAAATGTCGGCTACTTCAACTCAAACTCCGAGCAGGCATCAACCAGAGCCGCAGACACGGCCGCGATATTTGGCGCATCAAATACTTGAAAATGATTGCCGGGAATATCCAAACACTGAATCGGTCCTCCCGTCAAAATTTCCCACCCAGCCGTCGCCAGTGAGCGATCCCGCCTATCCTGCAGCCACGGATTCTCCATTTCTTCCACCGCAGCACCAGTGTAGCCCCGAGGCGGCGTCCAGCCAACCGCGGATCGAAGCAAAATCACACGAGGCACAGGCCCGACCGGCTTGTTGGATAGCCCTCGCTGTTGCAACTCGGCGCTCGTGCCAAAGTCGCCGATGAGGCCGGCGCAGATTCGAAAGCTTTGCTGCACGAGCTTGCGGATGGCGCTTGCGACGGGGGACACACATTTGCTGGCAGTAGTAGAACCGGCCGCCGCGTCCTTTTCGGCGGGCTGTGCGGTAACGGCGCTGATGATGGACTCGGACAGCGGAATGTGGCCGATGGGGGGAGGTGAGTCAATGAGGACGACGCCCTTGACCCGGTGGCCTCGAGACATGAGGATGCGCGCTGCCTCAAAGGCTACAACGCCGCCAAAGGACCAGCCGCCCAGAATGCAATCCTCGCCGCCTGTCATGCCCATTGTCGACGAGATTGAGCTTGCGTACTCGTTGGCCATCGTGGTCAGACTGGCCCACGAACGTTGTTTGCTGGACTGGATCAGGAATTTGGGGTCGTGGAGGGCCAAAACCCGTCGGCCCAGCGGCCGGAGGCCCCGGTAGTGAGTACAGATGCCGCTACCGTCGTGAATAAGAAACAAAGGAGATTTGCCAGAGAATTTTCGATCAAGTGAACCAACTTGAATTTCTTCAGGTTGCTGAGACAGATGAAGAAGTCTTTCGATTTGGGGAAGGACAGCCTCCTCAGAGGCAAGTAAGCTGATTTGGGTTGCAGGCTGTTGAGCTGAAAGCCGGACGGCCTCAGAACTGGCATGTACAGCTTCGGGGTAGATTTTCGTGCTGATACCGCTCTGGTAAGCCGGCGTTCCAGGCCGCTTTACTATCTGAATTTTATCACGCCCCATGTTAGGCACAGAACTCGACGTGACCACGGCGGCCCGGAATAAAAAGGTAGACTTGAACTAGCGACGTACCAGCCTTTCAATGTCGCCGATTGTTTGGCAATCTGCCAAGTCATTTGACGACAGAGCAATGCCTCGGTCGAGATCCTGCAGCCGATCGGCGAGCTCCAGAAACATGAGAGAGTCGACTCCGAGCGCGCGCAGTTCCGAGTCGGGCGAGACAGCCTCAGCCCGAGCACCGCAGAGCTCGGCCACGATCTGGACCATGTCGATGGAGGAGGCGTCGACTGTGCTGACCGAGGCAGGAGTCGATATGGCCGAGTCTGAACCTCTTTCAGAGCCAGGCGTAGGAGAGTCATTGTCGACATCGTTGCCAACGGGAGTTGGGCTCAGCGCTTCGCAAAGGCGCTCAATATCGCCCACGGTGTCACAGCTACCCAGGGTGTCGGGAAGCACATCCACCCCAAGGGCGGATGAGAGCGCGGCCGCTATCTCGATACCCATGAGAGAGTCGACACCGTGTGCGTCGAGACGGGAGTCTACCCCAAGTTGGCCTGCATCAAGGCCGCAAACCTTTGCCACCAACTCCGGCACCGACACTTCCGGGGCGGCTCGCACAGGAGCAGCTGCTCGTGGAAGCGCCATCCTCTCCACTGACTGCGCATTCACGAAGGAAGTGACATCATTTCTTCGTTTAGGCTGGGCGGGATGCGAGGCAGACACCGCTGCGTTCGGGCTAGAGCGGGTGGCTCTCTTGAGGGCTTGCTCGATGAGCGGTATCTTGACGTGCTGAAAGACCATGCCTTTGAAGACGGCCATGACGCCGCTCGAGTCCACTGCGTATGCATTGGAGATGGTGAAGGAGCGGCCATCGCTGTCCTGGGTGTCAAAGGTTGAGCAGTAGACGTCGAAAGGTGCACATGCCCCATCTCGGACAACAGGAGCACGTAGGGTAGTGGCGCCGCCAACCTCTTTGCAAATCCCCATGACATCGTTGGGGAGATTTAAATTGGACACAAAGCCGGCAACATGTAGCAGCACATCCATGAAAATTGCATGACTGGCCGGGATGCTGCTGTCCCTTGCCAGGTACGGGGCAGGAGACACACATGTCGCCAGCGCCTCTCCCGTGTCTTCTCTGATGCGTATCGTCTCAACCTTTTGGTACGGATCCGAGTATTCCACAACACGAGTAAAAATCTTTTCGTACATGGCGCGCTTGGAAAAGACCTGCACGCAAGACGCCGCGGGTGCTCCCAGCTGCCCGACGTGCTTGAGACCATCCATACTGCCCTTCATTGACGCCTGTAGCCTGGAGTACTTGAGCTCCGCAGACGCCATGTTGCTCTGCTTGACGACACCGCGGCAGTGCACCGTGCTCCGCTCGTTGGGGTCCGTTCCGGCAACGTACGACATGACGGCAAAGTCGTAGCGATCGGGGAGCGTGAGGCGCGGCGTGATGACGACCCTCAGTACTTGGTTCGAGTTGCCGTCATAAACCATGGGCGCGCAGTAGCTCACTTTGCTGAGACCCCAAACCACGGAGCTTCCAGCAGCAGATTGGCAGTCGTTGAGCGCTGCGAGAACCATTTCGTGATACACCGAGGCTGGACAGAGGGCGTATCCGCAGACAAGGTGTCCTTCGATAAACTCCTTTAAAAGCACGGCGGGCGTTTCATAGATGGCGCAGCTGTTGGATGCCCCGTGCGACAATTTTTGAATGGCGTGGACAGCGAAACTGTTGGGAACCACGTTGGAGGCCGCATCTCCAGAAGATTGAGACGTAGACGCCGGCTCTCCCGCCATCTCGCGGTATGGCACATGAAACTCGCTTGGGAAGAAGGGCATGCCAGGTAGTTGAATGAGCTTGAAGCGACGATGCGCGTTGCGGGAAAAGACGCTTCTCCAGTTGACTCCCGACGAAGTCTGATAAAAGTGGCTGAGCAGCTGCGACAAGGTGCTTGCCGGCGGCACATTCTTCTTGAGAGTCGTGAGCTGGATGTGGCTCGTCGCCGCCTTGCCCAAGCGTCCACGAAGCATTGGCTGAACGGATGGATGCGGGCCAATCTCGATCCAGCGATAAGGAGTACTTTCGCAGTCTCCGAGGGCCAAAAAGTGCTTGATGCCGTCATCGAAAGCCACAGTGCCGCGGCACTGCTTCGCAAAGTACTCGGGCGAAAAGGCCTGCTCGCCCACCGCGACTGTGCGGCCTAGTACATTGGATACCACGGGCAGCGTAGGCGGGAAAACTCGAACCTCGCGCGCGGCAAAAGCAGTAAACTCTTCGAGGATGGGGTCCATGGCAGCAGTGTGGAAAGCCATTGGCACATCGAGCAGCTTGCTTCTTACCTGCGCTCGATCCGTCAGATGCTTCTTCAGCAGCACCAGCTGCGGAACTGGTCCGCCAACAACGCAGTCTGTCTCGCTGTTGTTGCAGGAAATGGCCAGCCCCTCAAAGTCTGTGGAGGCCTCAATAATGCTCGTGATTACTGCGGCGCTGCAGTTTACGGCAAGCATCGAGGTTTGGCCAAGGTCGCACTGCTCCATCATCAGCTTGGCGCGGTGCGCGACCAGCTTCAAGCCATCCATGAGACGGATGACGCCTGCAGTCACGAGCGCCGCATACTCTCCCAAGCTACAAGACATGTGTGTATCAGCTAGCTGTCCGTATGTCTAGATTGAGAAGCTCTTACCTGTGTCCTGCGACTGCTTGAGGGCGGATGCCCCATGATTCCAGAAGCTTGGCTAGAGCAACCTCGATAACATAAATAGCAGATTGGAAGCTCTGCCATGTGTGTGCGTCGACTTTGTCATCTTCACTCTCCCTTTGCTCACCGGTAATGACGGCGAGACAGCTGGGGTAGTTGTTCTTGACGAGCCAACCATCACACACATTGACTGTGTGAGCAAAGTCCTCGTACTGCTCAATGAGCTCCCGTCCCATGCCGAGATACTAGTGACTCAAGTTAAGTTGTGTCTTTGCCACGCTTCAAGTTTTTGGTCTTTCTCACCTGCGAGCCTTGGCCTGAAAAGATGAATACAGCCTCTGGAGCTTCACAAATCGACTTGGACACGTTATGTGAGCTCGCTGAGCGCAGATTCTCAGCAAGTTCCTCCAGGGAGCTGGCCACCACTGCTACTCGATGGTTATACATTTGTCTGCGTGACGTCAAAGTTGCGCAGACGTCAGCGAGCGAGGGAGGTTTGCGACTCTGCCCTGCACTGGTGAGATAATCTGCCACAGTTTCCTGCAGTTTCACGAGAGCGCGGTCATTCTTGGCAGAGACACCGCAGACAAATATCGTCGCGCCGCAAGCAGGTTGTTGGGCCTCGCTTTCGTCCTGGGAGAGGTGCTCGCCAATGATGACGGCGGCGTTGGAGCCTCCAGCGCCAAAGTTGTTGAGCATACTCATGCGCGCCTTTTTCGGCCCTGCACGTGGCCACTCGGTACCATTCGCGTCAATGGCAGCGCCGTCAACACCCAGCGGGCGGATGCGCGGATTCAGCGTCTTGAGGGACACTTGCGGTGGGATGTAGCCGTTTCTCGTCATCAAGATGAGCTTGGCGAGGCCTGCAATGCCAGAAACAGCTTCGGCGTGGCCAATGTTTGCTTTCAGAGAAGTGAGATAGACTGGATTGAGTGGTGATCTCGCTTTGCACAGTGCGCGTCTAACACTCTCTACTTCATTCGGGTCACCAGCTTGAGTTCTGCGCCAAGTTAGCCACTGATATGACCGAAGCAAAAGTATTACTTACCCAGTACCGTGCATTTCTACAACAGAGATCTAGAAGAGTATTAATAATAAGACTCAAAAAAAAAAGAAAAAAAAAAGAAAAAGGTTGGCATGATAGGCTCACCTCGTGCGGGTTGATTCTGGACTCGCGGAACATTTTGTCAAACAGGGCCTCCTGCGTGGGCACGTGAGGGTGCGTGATGGAATGTGTGTTTCCGCTCTGATTAATCTCAATGGCCTTGATTACACCATGAATACGGTCACCTTCGGCGAGAGCGTCCGACAGCCTCTTAATCACAAAGACACCGCAGCCCTCTGCACGGCAGTATCCGTCAGCCGAGGCATCAAACGCTTTGCACTGGCCAGAGGGACTCAAAAAGTGAGCGCGGTCCAGACCAAGATACATCTGCAGAAAAAAATTAGCTTTTCATATATATACCTTGAGACAAAAAAAAAAGACGCGAAACTTTGACAAGCTGACGTACATCGGGGCTGGTGATTGTGTTGGCAGCTCCGACGAGCGCACTTCGGCAGTCCCCTGCCAGGATGGATCTCGCTGCTTGGTGCAGGGCGACAATGGATGATGAGCAGGCCGTATCCAATGTGATGGATGGTCCGCTCCAGCCAAACACGTACGAGATGCGCGCACTGAGAAACGCCCGCAGAGTGCCTATAGCCCACGAGTCAGCAGATATCTCTCTCTCTCTCTCTCTAACTATGCAGCAGCCGGGGAAAATGTTCCCTTACCTGTGCTGTAGTACACGTCAATGTCGCTGCGCAAGTTGTCCACGTAATCGAGCGTGGCATTGCCGATCCAGCAGCCAAAGGTGTCTCGGGCAGAAGAGGTCGTCGTGTCTGGAACGTAGCCAGCGTCCTCGAGCGCACGGTAGGCCGTCTGCAGGAGAATGCGCTGCTGCGGATCCATGGATTTGGCCTCTCGCCGGGAGATGCCGAAATGCTCCGCATCAAAGAGGAAGGGATTCTCTAAAAAGTTGCCGTACTTGGTGTTGAGGGTGCGACTGCCCTTGCCGTTGTTGTAGTCATTGACATTGAATCGCGAGGGGGGTATCTAGAGTGAGTGAGGTCGGTCCTGTTAGCTTGAGTTCCTTTCAGTCATTACACGTCAAGTGAATTTTACCTCTGAGCATGCTTGGTAGCCATCAACGAGATTTTGCCACAAGGTGTCTGCGTCTGACGCTCCTGGCAGTTCTACGGCCATGCCAACAATGGCAATATCGTCCCAGGCCAGCCGAGATGCACCAGAATTTTGAAAAGAGCCTTTGCTGATTTTTGCTGCGTCCATGATGCATACGTCTTTTTCTTGGGCTTGTGCAAAAGCTGACGGCGCCATGCCGAGACCAGGGCCATAATTCACGATGTTGATCGGTCGGTCCAAAGCGTCCTGGCTCGTGTGCGAGACAATCGATTGTTGTAGATTGAGCCAGTCTACCTTTTCGATAAAGATGAGATCCAGAATGGCGCAGGCTACTTGCTCGAGAGTTGTGACTGATGACAAAGCCAGAGGTTTTCCGGTTTTCGTTGAGAGGATTGGTGCTGAAAGCTCAACCCGGGCTTGAAGCAGTGTGTCTTGTCGTTCTAAATCGGCCATGACCAGATTTCGTACCTCCAGGAGACTCTCATGGTGGTAGAGGCTGTGGACGACTGCCACTGTGGTGCGGCAGTTTGCGGGCAGGTGTTTCGAGATGAAGGTGGACAATTTGGTAGGGATGCCGCTTATTGTGACCCGAGTAGGTGATAGAATGGCAGATACGAAGACCTCATTCCCCTAGAACAAAATTGTGTAAGTTATTGACTTTGTTCACGCAGACTGAGGGCTCTACTCAGTTCGTACCATGTTGGTCTTGTGAAGCAAATCTTGGGCTGCAGCTTCAGATACACCCTCCAACACGTAGCTGCAGGGCAGCATTGATTCTCCGTCCGCATCTTGAGTATCATTTGTGAGGTGATCAACTCGGTATTGCTCGCTCCTGATTCCGATCCACAGCGCGACCTGAAAGAAATGGTGAGACTGGGAGATCAGCGTGATGACTGATGTCTGGCTGGCAGCTGCGACTGCTGCTGGCAGTAGACCCGTACAAAAGCCGGCTGAGCCTATCAAGTTACCGAGTTCCTTCTGGCTGGTCATGTAGGCCAGGATCTGGTGGAGGTATAGGGCTGCATGTTGCATAACGACATTGCGACTGTACTTTGACAAAGGACGGATAAGTGACGCAGGCTCGGCAAAATCGTCCAAGTCGATGGAGTCCTCGGGGAGTATATTTCGGGCAATAGCATCAGATACCTGCTCGCGGAATGTTCTGTGGCAGGATTGAAGCAGCACAGCGCATTCGGGGCTTAGAGCATTCTCCTCTGCACGTCCAACATTCTCTTCTGAGAATACTGATCCGGAGCCAAGTCCAGAGAAGACTGGGAAGAAAGACGGCATGTTGAGAAATGGAAAAGATTCAAGGAGAATAATGCGTGAAAAGTGTGAGGCTCAACTCTGTATCATTGCTCTCCCGTAGGAATATATACAACACCAGCAAGTACATGTTTTTGAGTAGAAACATTTCAAATGACTAAATACGGTCATTAAACTCAACCCTAGCGTAAAAATCGTTACACTTGTCTGTATCTGACTGTAACAGTGTCAGAATCTTTCCAAAGGCTCCATCCGCGTCGGCCCCTGTAGGTCAATCCGGCAACCTCACAGGAGTGTTCTAAGTGATCCCATGTTGGGCTATGACTAGTTACATCTGCATTCTTCCATCAAGATTGCTACGTTTCCTCGGAATCGTACTGTTTTGGCAGTCAAAACTGGGGATTCATCTTGGACAAACATATGCACCTTACGGAGCGCTGGGCCAGCAGCCCATGTAGTCAGCCTTTACGCGGTGCGACTTGCTTTGGAAGTAATATGGGCCCCAAAGAGTTTCCAAATGGAGCGAAATGCTATCTATGCCATAATGGGCGGGTCTTTCAAATCTACGACGGTCGTGTCATTGCAGTTTCTACATCCATGCCCGAGCAGGAAAAACATGCCTGCTTGCCCGACGAATGACGAACAATCCTTGACGCCACATGTTGTCGGTATGTTATGCTTGTGAGAGTCTTATTATTAGATTACGCAAGCTACTGCTTATTCTCGGCTCTTGATACAAGGTTAGCTTGTGAAAGAGATTCTGTCTTCTTTACCAGCCGTAACCGAACAGGAGAGACAGATACTTGGCCAGACCAAGAACTTGAACATGAGTAAAAGAACGGCGTGAATTTTTTTTATCTGAGACTATCTAAATTTCATCGAGAAAATATTGCGGTTATTGTGCTATTATGTAAAGCTGTCTATAAAGTCATCAATTAAACCAAATCTTGTAGCGATACTGCCTGCATTCTAGTTGATTCAATGGCCAAGCTCTCAAGCAGGCTCATGCAGAAGGGGCCTTGTCGCTGTGCCTTTTCAAGGCCCAGATGACACCAGAACTTGCCCAGCAGATGACGGCTAAGCCGGTGAAGAGCCATTGGGTTCCAATAGCACCAAGAAGGGGATCTGTGGCGACGGCAGCTGCGCATGACAGCGTGTTTCGCATGAGATTGTTGAGTGCGACGGCGTTGCTGGCTTTTCCGGGGAGAATTTCCGTCAGCATTGTTGTCGCGGTATTAAAGATTAAACTGTTTCCGAGTCCGAAGAAAAAGGTAACAACAATCTGGAGGGCAAGTCAGTCGAAAGATTCGGCCTCATCTGGGTCATGGATGGTTACTCACTGGCGCAAACCAAAAGATGCCCTCGTGGGTCGTCCAGCCAAACACGAGCAAAGCGGCGGGAAACACGAATGCGGGTATCCATGCGTTCTCACACATGCGGTCTGAAGGACGAAACTTTGGATTTCCAGACTCGTCAAATCGCCCTGCAGCTTTGGCCTCGCGTCGCATGACGTAGTCTGTCCACCGGCCGCCAACGACGGATGCAACTATAGAGCCCAGTGCGCTGGGGATATACAAGAGCCCAAGAATAATTGCGCGGAACGAGTACGGGTCCCGAGAGAACGTTCTTTGAATCGCGAGATTCAGAATGTAGTAGCAAGCAAACGATATGCTGGCGTAGTAGCACGTCATGAAGAGTGGTGGGGAGCGAAGGTATCCAACCAGTCTGAACGGTTCGACGAGCATCCTACCCAAGGCCTTGAAAAAGCGTGATACACATGATTCTGGCACTGGCTGCACGTTTCCGTCATCAGAGTTTTCTGCGACAGCTGGTTCCTTTCCCTTTACCGCCTTGGAGGACGTCTCCGGCAGCAGAAAGATCATGGACAACCATACCAGACCACCATAGACGACGGCGCCCCATTGAGTCGATCTCCATCCGAAACGCTGAGTGAGGATACCGCCGATGATGGGCGAAACGAGCGGTCCTAGCATAGGTCCAAGGAAGAAGTAGCCCATTGCTGTTCCTCGCCTCTTGACCTCCCACAGATCAGCGACTGTTCCGGCGCCGACCGCAGCCACAGATGCAGATGCGCCACCAGCCAAGAAACGCATAATGATGAACATTTCAATAGATGTGCTCACAGCAGCTACCGAGTTCCAAACTAGAAAGAGGGTAAATGAGACGAGGTAGATTGGTCGACGACCATAGGCTTCCGAAAGAACAGACCACCACAGTGGTATAATGGCCATAGATAGCGCATAAAGAGCAACCGAGAGGTTTGCGACGGTTCCCGAGACTTGAAAATATTCAGCGATTCCTGGAAGAGCGGCTGCACGTTTTGTTTGACTCTGTTAGTC